CACTGTGCCGTCGGCTCTTTCCCGATTCGACACAGGTACTCACCGAAGCACCCGTGCCCGGTGAGCACCTGCGTCACCCGGTAGGTGAGGCGTCCAGCCCCGTTCTTCAGCCACAGGCAAAGATGGGGCCGGATAGCCTCGACAACCTTCTGGCGAGCCGCTCTCGGCTCGTCCAGAAGCTGCTCCCAGTCCAGAAGCAGTTGTCGCCGGGCTTGGCGCTCTGAGTTGGCAATGGCTTCCCGCAGAGGTTCGTCTGCCAGGCCCCCTTGCATCAACTCGACCCGCCTGTGATAGCGGGCCGAGTACATCGCCGCAAGGAGGGCCAGGGAAGGGATGCCTGCCAGCACTCCCGCCGTCTCCGTGGCCACCGTGCGGTAGCCGCGTATGACGCGAAGGGCGATCGTTCTCTGGGCTTTGCGGAGCCCGTCAAACGGGCTCCGCGCCCCGCCCTCCGCCGCAGCTCCCGCTCACAGCGGCGACCCGTACAGGGCCACCGCGTGAACCACATTGGTGTAGAGACGGCGGGCCTTCTCCTTCGGTCCCCCCAGGTTCGGCANCAGACGCGACAGCGCGTCCGCCACCTTGCGAACCCTGGAGGAGAGCCAAGTGAAGTGCTCCCCAAAGCGCCAGTGCGGGTCGAGGTAAAGTCCCAGGTACTTTATACATGTACCCACCTCGACCCGCGCCTCACCTACCTGTAGGCTGAGTCCCGTGGGCCGCCCTCCTCGACGGGGACCGCAAAAATGCATGGCCTCCGTCTTGTGGACGGCCATCTTGAGACCCAGCCTCTCGATTCGGCCGACGGTACAGTTCGTGCCAACCTCGGCGAGCCTTCTGGCCTCCTCCACGTCTGCACCATAGGCCACGATCAGAGTGTCATCCGCGTAGCAGATGACACTCAGGCCTCTGGGCAGGGCGGCCTGGATCACCACGTTGTACCCGAGGTTCCACAACAAGGGGCCCAGAACGGACCCCTGCGGAACCCCGCGGTACATCTTCCTGCTTCGTGGCGATCCATACCGGCCGGTATATCTTATTTCCCTGCCGCGGAAATAATCCCCGAGGATCCTGCTCAGATAGGGTGGGACCCCGTGATGGTGCAGGGCCCACCCTATGCTGTCCCAGGGGAGGGAGTTAAAGGCGTTGGAGATGTCAAGCGACACCGCCAACGCCACCCCCCCTGCCTGACCGATGCCTCCGTGAGGAACTTTAGACGGAGGACAGCATCCACCGTCGACCGTCCCCCACGGAAACCGAACTGGCAATCGGCCAGGTCGGGGCCAACTCGCGACAGGTGCTCGACGAGGCGGAACGCAATTATGCGCTCCAGCAACTTGCCCGCCTCGTCGAGCAGACATATCGGCCGGTACGCGGACGGTGAGTCCGCGGGCCTACCACCTTTGCAAAGAAGGACCAGATTTGCCCCCTTCCAGTCTGGGGGGAACCAGCCCGTCTTCAGGCAGTCCGTAAACAGCTGCCTGAGGCGGTCACCCAGGGGACCCTGTCCNAAGGCAAAGCCCAGCACCTTTCCGGGCACGCCGTCGGGACCTGGCGCGGTACTCTTCCGCGCCATCCGACGAACGGCCCGGCGGAGCTCCTCTTCCGTGACCTCCCACTGATTGGACCACTCCACTTGGTCCAACTCTGGCTCCCGGGAGGGCCAACCCCTCTCCCCGTCAGGGAAGAGGGTGGAGACGACCCTCTCCAGGAGCTGGGGGTCGAGGCTCTCGGTGATCGGAGGCGTCCACGGGCGCAGCTTGTTCAGCACAAGCCTGTATGGACGCCCCCAAGGATCCGCGTCGAGAGCCTCAAGGAGCTCCGTCCACGCTTGGGACTTTGCCTTCTTAATGGCAGCACGGAGAGCTTTGCGCGCGGCGCAGTAGCCCTCGTGCGCCTCCGCTGCTCGCGCCTCCACGTCGCCAGTTCTTCGGCGACGGGCGCGGGTGTACTGATTTCTGGCACGGATGCACTCCACTCTGAGAGCGGCAATCTCGGCCGTCCACCAGTACACCGACCTCCGGTTCGGCGGTTCTCGGGAGCGCGGCATCGCCGCGTCGCAAATGTCAACTTGCGTCTCCCGGAACCACCGAAGTTCCGCATGGAGGTCCCGCGGCCCGGCCGGTGGAGAGGGCCAGGCCGCGACCTGAGCAGCGGCGGACAGGATCTGTGGGTCCAGTTGTTTGAGGACCCACCCCTGGGGAGGAGATCTTCTCGCCCCATGGCGACCCCGGAAACGGTCAGGGAGCACAGAGACCCTCATTGTGATATACACATNGTCGGAGAGGGTCTCCATAGTGTCCCTAACCATCCATCCGGACACACGGCGGGCAGCAGACGGGGAGGCGAACGCGACGTCCACCACTGACCCCCCGTTGCGCCTTACGCACGTGTGCTGCGAGCCTCGATTCAACACGACGAGTCCGCAGATCGCCATGCAGTCCTCCAAGGCCCTTCCTCTCTTGTCTGTCCTGGAAGACCCCTAAGCCTTAGACTTGGAGTTGAAGTCTCCCAGGACCAGCACCGGGCGAGCACTATGCGTTCGAACGACGCGCTCTAGCTTGCCCAGATACTGCTCAAATTCGCGGAAGGGCCTGTTGGGCAAGAAGTATCCCCCCACTATTGCCAGTTCTTCCCATTCTGCGGCTACAAAGCCCCTGCCCCTCTCTAAAAGAGAGAAGACAGAGGACTCCGGGCCGCTGCCATACCTGAAGTACAGTGCGACCGAGCCGTCCTCCGCCCCCAACCACGACGGGTGGTCGGGGACGTTGTACGGCTCGGCCGCTACTGCAATTACCCCGCCCAACTCCGCGAGGCTCTGGATCATGAGATCCTGAGCCCCGCGGGAGTGGTTAACGTTGCACTGGAGGAGGAGGGGCGGATTCATTACACCGTAGGTGGCACCTCCACCTCCATTTCCTCCTCCAGGGCACTGCTGCTAGGGGGCTGACTTGCCCCCTGGTTTTCTGCCGACGCGGGTTCCGCGCTAATCTCGGCAGCCGTAACTACTTCGGGAGGGGTAGGCGCTGACGACCCACCTCCCCCGGGGGCTTGTTTCGCAGCCCCCTTTTTCTTGCCTTTGCGGGGCACTGGGGCACACGCCTTGCTCCCGAGCCGATGCGCTGCCGGTCGACCGAGGTTCATACACAGCGGGCACCGCGGTGTTGCGTCGCAGCCCGCCGCATTGTGACCCCGGTCACCGCATTGGTAACAGCGGCTTCTTCGATCCTCCGTAGAAGCAGCGTAAGGGCACGTGGTTATTACGTGCCCGCGCCGGAGCCACCGGTGGCACTGAAGAGGCCGCCTTTCTAACACCTCAATGGGCGCACGGACCCATCCCACGGGGATGGAACGCGCGCCCGCCAACTTCCTGGCTGCAGTTAGCGGGCACTGCACCCAGGCTGATAGCAGTCCGCCAGAGGAAGCGCGAGCTCGGCCGACCTTCACCTCGGTCGGCCGACAACCTCCGGCGGCTGCAACAGCCTCCTTTAATTCTTCGGGGGAGATGGAGTCGTCGAGGCCCCTGACCCGCATATCCGCGGTCTTGACTGGCCTCGCGACTCGAGCTCCCCCTGCCTCTGCGAGCGGGGCCATGGCGGCGCACAGTTTGTCCGCTTTGGCCTCGCAGTCCTCCCCGGAGACCTCAATAATGAGGGCTCCGGTGATCGCTCTTTTTGGG